TGACGACGTTGAATTCTAACTCAATTGAGAGCATACAGCCAATTCGCATGCATACAATTTGGTTGCGTCATGATTGAATTTCACACTGTGACAGCTAGTCTTATTTCAAGCCTTGTAATTACAATTGTCAAAGCTGTTGCAAAAAGTGTTTTTGTTTAACAAAATAATAATTGCAATTGTGTTATTGAAACTTCACACAATCATATTTAATCGATTGAGTATGTGCTCAGATGATTAGTCTCATTTCAAGGCTAACTATTTTGCATTGTATTCAATTCGGTTTATCTACGAAGTGAATTTCTTTAGGTAATTGGGAACATTACATATTGAAACTTCAATACTAAATTAAAAATTCAGCAAAATTTGACATAAAATGCATTTTCAACTTTGTGAGTAAAATTGGTTTTAAATTTTAGAAAATATTTACATAATTTACATTTACAGTAATATAAAAAAAATATTATACAGAAAAGCCATACCGGTATGTTCTGTTCTTGAACAGACATACCTCTAGTTCCAAAATGCATTTGTGGATCTAAAGTAGTCTTCCCTGAATCCTGATGACACCCGGTTTTGTATTTTGGAAAAGTGTTTCAAGGCGCAAAATGCGATTTTCTTCTGCGAGTCACGTGTCAGCATAGTCAAAATTCACCTCACCCCCATTTCGGGACCAGGCGTATAGACGTGCATTAAGGAGTATTGCGCAATCGCGTATTTTTCGCCCCCCAAACGTCAATTTGCGGTGGCAAAATCATGCAGACTGACTACGACTTGGCTATTTGTTCCGAATGGGGCACAACAAACAACGTACAAGGAAACTGTGCTCAAGTAGGAATGATGAAAAGTGCCCTGAACTTCACACTGGCTTGAACAGAACAAAAACAAAGACTTTTCTGCAAATATGCAAACATACTTACATCGCCACCCACAGATGGTCCTAGAAGAAATTTGTGATCATGCATTTTTTCCCCCATAGGTTTTGTACCTGTTTTTCTTCAAACCTTATACTTTGGCACTTCCGTATGTCTGATTGACTTTACACTTGGCAGACACTTAGACCAGCAACCAAAGATGGTCCCTGATGATTTTGGTAACGATGACGTCATGTGTCACGTGACGGATATTAAATGTGCATTTTGCAAATCGCTAAATCGCTTCTGAAGTACAAGTCTGATTGCGTGGAAACGTGATTGGTACCCATAGTGAGTTGTGTTATAAATGAAAATTCAAGTAATGTCATCATCAAATGTCATGTGACATCCCTTAAGGGGCATTTTTTTCTATTATAGGCCTATATCTACAAAACTATATGTTACATTTCATGCATTTGGTTGTAACTGCATGTACATGTACGTATATGCTGTTACAGATGACATCTGTAGTGACGTCACTAGTTGTTCATCACGTGCACAGCAAAGTATTTCAAATATCCGAAACAGCTTGTGTTTGTCCACACACATTTCTAGTTAGGTGTTGGGCCTTGAGCCCAACACCTGTTGTTATTGTAAGAATTTACTATTATTAGGTTTTGGGCTTTAGCCCAAAACCTATTGTTTTTGCTAGGGTTTTTAGTTTTTTTTTTCTTCTATACGCATTCCTTCTCCAGAACTGTGTGTCAAAATAAAAACATATATGAACTTCAATTGTCAATACATGAATGCACAACCTACCGCAGATGTGTTTTTTTGCAATTACATAATCATGACGTCATCACGGGTCACGTGACGTCACTTCAAAGTTTAATAAATTTAATCTTTGAAATTTCATATAAAATCAACCGTGAGAGACCGGAACCTGAAATTTGCGGGAATCGACATGGTAATACATGATCTTCATTTTATCTTGTGCGCGCAAAATCACGTGACCCTTCCTTCCGGTCGGAACCGGAAGTGCCTAATAATTTTAAAGTGGAAAAAGATATGAACTTGCTTTTAACGATTGAAGTGTCTGCCTGGATTGACCTTTCAAAAAAAATAATGGGTGACGCCATGAAGTGTTGGAGCGCCCTCTAGCGACAGGTTAAAAAACGTCAAAAACGCATTTTCACTTGATGTCTGTGGCGAAGTTTGTGGTAATCGCTTCAAAATTAATGTACATGATGACCTTAATGCAGACAGCACCTGTGTGCGAAAAAAAATGATTACGTCATCAGACCAGAAGCTACAATAAAAAGACCTTTAAACCTTCAAAAATTGCTAGAAAATATACCGTGATAGATATAATCAAGATTTGGCTGTATATAGCACAGTTAAAATAGCTCTTGAACTTTCTGGTGATGACGTCATAATGACGTCATCCAGTATCGTGTTACAAGCAATCAAAGATTTCTAGAGTTAATCTTTGAAAATCAATATAAAATCAACTGCTACAGATTTGATTTTGTTTTTTATGGCAATCAATACAATATTGCAGGATCCTCAGTTTTGGTATTAAGTGCAAAATCACTTGACCCTTCCTTCCGGTCGAAACCGGAAGTGCCTTATTATTTGAAATTGGCAGAAGATGCGAACTTGCTTTCAATGATGTGAGTGTCTGTCTAGGCTGTACTACAGCAATATATTACAGGTGACGTCATAAAATGTCAGAGCGCCCTCTAGCAGCAGGTTAAAAAACATCAAAAATGCATTATCACTCGTTCTATAAATGGTTCCTAAAAGGAGCGAAGGTCACTCTGCCTGGGAGATTTCAAGCATAATATTTGGTTGCTAAATTTAATCTGTCGGCCAACAAAAGTATTATCATAATGACGTACCTGAAATGTTAACTTGTTTTAAAATATATGTTGAAATGTGAAAATCCGTGAATAAATGGCTGAGAACGATCTTTTACTGTTATGCTTGCATAAAACCGCAATTCGCCAGAAAGTATAGTTCCAGAAAGCAGTGTGGCGAACAGGTGGTATTTCATTTAACCACAAGTCACTATCTAGCTGGGACTGTGGAGCAGGGAGGGGAGTTTGGTTTACTTGCTCCCCAGGGGCTTTCAACAGTGTGAAACTAGCCACTTTCTTAAGAGGGCTGGTTTCGTCATGCAAAGTTTGCGGTAATCCATGGCCCAACACCGTGTTGTTGTTTCTACAACCTCTAGTTTTTTTTATTATTCTTCTAGACACATTCTTCTCTGGAACTGTTTGTCAAACTGAAAACATATATGAACTTCAATTGTCAATACATGAATGCACAACCCACTGAACATGTGCTTTTTTGCAATTACGTCATCATGACGTCATCATGGGTCACGTGACGTCACTTCAAAAGATAATCAATTTAATATTTAAAATTCAATTTAAAATCAACTGTGAGAGACCGGAACTTGAATTTTGCGGGAATCGACATGAAAATGTATGATCTTCATTTTATCTTGTGTGCGTCAAATCACGTGACCCTTCCTTCCGGTCGAAACCGGAAGTGCCTAATAATTTGAAAGTGGAAAAAGATATGAACTTGCTTTCAACGATGTTAGCCTGTGGGTGGGTTGATCTTTCCAAAAATATGATTGGTGATGCCATCAAGTGTTCGAGCGCCCTCTAGCGGCAGGTTAAAAAATGTCAAAAATGCAGTTTCAGTTGATGTCTGTGGCGAAATTTGCGGTAATCGCTTCAAAATTAATATACATGATCACCTTTATGCAGACAAGACCTGTGCGTGAAAAAAAATTGATTACGTAATCAGACCGGAAGTTACAAAGAAAAGACCTCTTTTACTTTGAAAATTGCTAAAAAATCAACCGTTAGAGATATAATCAAGTTTTGGGCTTTAAATGGCACTTTAATAATAGGTCTAAAACTTCCCAAAGTTTTGTTTCAATAAGTAACTTGGAGATGCCCTGCAGGCCCCTTGAAATTTGAAGTTGAAACCCTCATTTAATGCCACGTACATTGTGTGTACAGCAAATGGGATGATTGCGTACAAAGGGAAATTCCCGAAAAACAGTGTGTTATGATTGCGTACAAAAGGGAATTCCCTGTGTTGCTTTTTGAGTGTCTGGTTTTACGACTGTTGTATGTTAACTATTGAGCTTCATGTAACGGCTGTTTGATGAACCAATGTATCTTAAGTATTTACCAGTGTTTTGTACACGTTTATATGACAACTTCTTAACGCAAGCACATTTTTTACTTCTGATGACGTCATATGATGCTAAAAAATTGGGCTGGCAAATTGCCCAATTGGGCGCTTTGTTTTAATTGGGCGCTTTTTTTCTAAAAACAGGCGCATTAGGGTAAAAAGGATATGCGAGCAATATTTTGTATTGTGTCAATGGTGTGCGACCTTTACTTTTAGATATTAAGGGTTTATGTGTACTTGATCAGTTTACAGTACACTATACGCGCGTGCAGATCATCACCTGACTCTTTTTAACTATCCTCTGTATAATTACTACATGCGCTGTTTTTCAACCCTCAACATCAACATCAACAATAACATTAACATCAACAATCAATGTCAACATCAACAACGGCCCAACACCGTGTGGTTGTTCCTACAACCTCTAGTTATTTTTATACTTATTATTATTTCTATTATTTGATTTACGGCTAGAGGTCGCCCTTTGGATGATGACGTCATCATGCCATTGTTTGGCACTCCTCACTTAACACTTCTTTACTTTAATTTGTTTGTCTGTTGAAAAATTGCTTCCATTTTCAAGTTATATTCAAGTGTTCATTGCACTTTCGGTAACACTGGATGTAAAGGTCAAGCGGTTTTGTGCCTGGAAAAAAAGAAATTTTGTCCAAACCACCATCTTCCACCTCACAAAAAAATTAAAAAGATATACATGTTGCTCAAACTATTTTATCAAATTTTACCCTTCAAATGCAATTTGATACCTTGTGACGTCATAATTTTTTTAACATCTTTGGACGGGGTTCAAGTTCATACCAAGTTTAATCATAATCATTTAAATTGTTTGGAAGAAACTTGATTCGGTTTGATTTGGAAAAAAAACAAACCGTTACTCTTTCATTGTGAATCATTATGTTGTAATTAATTAGCAATATGTCTACTGTCCGACAGGTGAATCCATTTGGACTTCAGTTTAGTCTCCAAGCCCAAGCCACAACAGTCAATGAGAGACCATCACTGAATAAACAGGTAGAGTAAATTGACATTGTTAAACATAGTCTAAAAACAAAATTGGTAACAGTGTTTGCTTGTGTAAGTATTGTCCTTCAATTATGTGTTTTCTTCTAAAGTAGGCCTATTATTTTTATGTACCTGTATTTAAAAAAACCCAACAAATTACTTTATAATTCAACAAATTCAAGAATACTTCATGCAATTATCAGATGCACCACTTAAGGCTTGGGTAAATCCACGCCAGAATTGAGTAGAACCGATTCCAAATTGAGGAATTGATTCTCCGATTCCAATTTTTTGAGCGTTGATTCCAGTCTTCGCACGACGATTTTGAAGACAGGCCAACTCCAACACGCCTTCAAAGAACGGGTGATTCTTTAACAAAACGGACCCTTTCCAGTTTTAAAAGTTATGCAGTGTGTCGAAGACAAACTGGCAGCACAACTCTCTGATGAAGCCGTCCTAGCAAAAACCTTTCACAAGAAGCGTGGTTTGATATTACGTAGAGAGTGCGATCGCAATCCACAGATGATAATGACATACACAATATTGTACAATTGTCAGACTGGTGAATCAGTAAAAGATCAGAAAATTTAATTAAAATATTCAAATTATGCCTGTAAATTTTGTAGGTACATGTATATTCATTGGCAATGTCCCAACTTCTGATGCTACATCTGTAAGTCCAAGATCAGCAGAGTCAAGTCGCATCAACATCACCAGTTTCCCGGATCCATGCGCATACACATGCGTACAAGTTTCGTAGTGGGAAATTTATCAGTGATCTGTGAGCAGCTGAAACGTCTTGGAGCGATCTGTGAGCAGATCAAACATCTTGGACAGTTGTGCTTCAGTGGTTGCTTGACATGTTCAACAAATGTATGAGCACCAACAGCATCCCAAAGCTGTGGAGGAAAGCCAGAGTCGTTGACATACTAAAACCTGGTAACGACCCAGCCAGCCGAAAGAGTTTCAGGCCCATCTCTCTATGCCATATGTATGAGCTCCTCATTCCTGAGCAGGCAGGTTTTAGGCTAGGAAAGTCTTGTACTGGTCAACTCTTGAACCTCACGCAGTTCATCAAAGATGGGTACGAGGAAGGGCTGGTCACTGGAGCTGCCTTTGTCGATCTCTCCGCAGCCTATGACACAGTGAACTATAGGATCCTCACCAGGAAACTCTTTAGACCTTTTCCCACTACAACACCCATCCCCGGGGACACCACAGGGTGACTTCTGAATTTTCACCCTCGAGTTCAACCCCGCACAGTTTCAGACTCGTTTCGTGCAAACCATGTTTATCTCGCCCCAGGGATTTGCACGACCGTTTCTCACTCAAGTTTTCAAACTCGGGGCGGCATGTAAGGCAACGTACTTCTGAAAAACTCTGGGCTTTTCATTGCAGAATTGATTAAAAAAACATCAAATATGCGAATAAAACTTGCCTCATTTAATCCACGGAGCTGAATGTATGTTGAGTCCTGGCCCTATTTTTACACGTGCTTCGATCATCGTGCGTGCTACAGTCCGTTAAACATGACGTCATAAAACTGATTATACACCAAAGAACGGAGCATTTGTAAAAGCATCCAATTATTATTTTAGCATCTAGTTAAATTTGACAGGTTCCATTTTAATTTTTTATTTATTGCATTGTATCGTTGAAACTCTGATACATTTCCTCACCGTGCGGAAGCATGAATTCCTAGTTTCGGCGCAGGAAAACAATATCACTACGCGTGCAAAGTTGTTGTATGTACTCTGTTCGGGTTGTACGTGCATACATACGTACGTATTGCATGAATTTTGCGCGATGTACGTTCGTAGTCGATCTCCGCCGATGCAGGCTGGGAATGAGGCTGAATATATTTGACTATTAGTACTTATTATTACTCATCCAATATTATTAAGTACATTAGAAGAGAAAGGAATAAAACCCGTGTGGATTATCATGTCAAATTTCAGGTAAATATTTCAAAGAAGTTATTGGATTTTTTACTACTTGCAGTCCAGTATGATTACGATCGATCGAGCTGTTGTTTGTTGAATGGTACGGTTGGATTTGCTTCGGTCGAAAAGCCACCAAAAAGCGCATATTGTTCCCAAGTTTTTTCAGATGAATTGCTGCAATTACACTTGAGTCTTTTTCAACCCTCTGATGCTCACCCAGGGGCGAATTCACCCCTCCTTGTTTCACACTACAGTTTTCGCCCCGGGGAAAGTGTCTCGCCCCTGGGATGAGATTTTCAACCCTGGTCCCGAGCAGGGGTGAGCTCGCCCCGGGGATGAGCGATCTCGGGGTTGGCTCGGGGGTGACGCGGGGATGAAAATTTCAAGTGAGAAACGTGGTTTATTTTTACCCCCGCGTCGCCCCGGGGCCACCCCGGAGATTTGGTCTAGTGAAAAAGGCCTTTTGAGATGACAAAGGATGTGAGGCTGACAGAACTAATCCAGAACCTGCTATCAAACAGACATTTTTTTGTGGATCTCAATGGCAACCACAGAAGATGGCGTAGACAGAAAAATGGTCTTGCACAAGAAAGCGTCCTTACCCCCCTGCTCTTCAATGTGTATACAGATGACCAACCAGTACATCCCAACACTAGGAGTTTCCTGTACGCTGATGACCTCTGCATTGTTTCACAGAAACAGTTGTTTGAAGAGATTGAAAAATCATGTAGTGATGCCCTTGCCGGTCTAACTCCTTACTATGCTGTCAATCGTCTACGGGCTAATCCTGAAAAAACAAACAAATAAGTGTCTTCCATCTTAAGAGCAGAGATGCCCATCGACAACTGAGGGTCAGATGGTATGGGAAATGGCTGACACACACCCATAAGCGGGTTTACTTAGGTGTCACACTAGATCGTTCCCTCATGGTACAATGGTACACATGGTACAAAAAATAACTTTACTTAAAACTATGAAAACTCTTTCAACCCCAAATTTGGTTTTTGGTTTCTTTGAATGTTTCTCTTCATTCTGCAACGATAACCCTAACCCGAAAATGCCTCTAAACCTGTTTTCCAGAGAGGGTGAAACATTATGTGGACACGGCTTAGTCCACATAACATGCATTATGTGGACATCTTTTGTTCACATGTCCACATAGTGACTGTAAGACAAACTCACGTTTGCTTATGGTCTAATGTGCCTCTTCCCATTTCCTTTGTTTGTACTTCTAACTTTTTTGCAACAGCTCTCATTGGTTTTGTACACGTTTTCTAATCGAGGTCGTCCTCGATTTGGTTCCTGTCCTCCTCGATTTACACCATAAACATGCACACACAAAAACAAAACTACAGTCGAGTCTCGTTATAACAAACTCTTTCGGACCTAGCCAAATTGTTTGTTATATCAGAATTGTGTATGAAGAGGAACATCAGTCCCATTCATTGTGCACATAAATGCACAGTCGGACCAAGGCTTTATGTTTGTTATAACCAAAATTTTGTATTAACAGAGTTTGTACTAACGAGAGTCGACTGTATTGCTGACGCCACGCCTAAAAGCTTACCGAGAAGTGTGAATAATTGCTCGCCTAAATTTCCCTGGAACATAAAATCACACACCTAAAAAATCACACACCTAGAAAATCACACACCTAGAAAATCACACACCTAGAAAATCACACACCTAGAAAAACCACACGCCTAGAAAAATCCAGGTGTGCCTTTTTCCACACGCCTGTGATTTTCAAATCTTCAGGACTGCAGGAAGAGTAAGAAATAGTTGTGTCGTCCGCAAATAGTGTGAAAGAAAGAAGAGGAGAGGAAAAGTGCAAGTAAGAATAGAGCCTTGTGGAACCCCATGGCGAATTTCTTGGCGCGAGGAGTTGACGTTTTTGAAGAAAGTGAATTATTGCCTGTTGGCGAGATGAGAAGAAAGCCATTTGAACGCAACGCCCCGTATGCCATAGAAATTTCCCTGGAACATAAAATCACACACCTAGAAAATCACACACCTAGAAAATCACACACCTAGAAAATCACACACCTAGAAAAACCACACGCCCATGGCGAATTTCTTGGCGCGAGGAGTTGACGTTTTTGAAGAAAGTGAATTATTGCCTGTTGGCGAGATGAGAAGAAAGCCATTTGAACGCAACGCCCCGTATGCCATAGAAATGATTTTGAATGATCAACAAAGACACAAACGGTACTCATTTTGTTAATCATGGCAGTGGTATCTTTATCAGTGAATTGGATAAGTGTCATGTTTGTAGAGTGATTAGCTCAGAAGCCGTAACTGGTGATCGGAAAGACGAAACTGTTTAATGTTGTAGTAAAGTCTCTCAAGGATTTTAGAAAAGCAAGGGAGAATGGATATGGAAATGTCAGCACAACTCTTGAGAAATACATGTACTTCACATATGAACATCAAATTCCATTTGTGGATTGTCTTGGTAATCCTAAGAAGCCTATATGTATTAGGCTGTGGGCCAAAGCCTGTAACTTGCAATTTCGTCTTAACTTTTTAGTGACAACTTTAATTCTCAGTTTGGAACATGTTAAATGATATTTTACACTGTGCATGCCACATCGTTTGTACATAAATTAGAAATAAAGGGGACTGTTTCCCCAATGTACATGTACATGTAACTATACCACATGAGGGCGATTGCAATGCATCACTGTCATTGCATACCAGCCTCGACTACATGGGCAGGTGCGCGTTCTTCCATTAACCCCTGGCCATGGGGAACACGTAAACTGCAACGCTGACCCGGCTATTCAGAGCGTACTGCGCGCGTATTTTGAAGACTGCACGCCCTATATGCGCTTGCGCGGTATCTCCTGCATGAACACCACGTCACGTACGAACTTTTTTTTTTTTTTTCAAGACTGCGCGATGCCTTTTGTTACAGATTCTGAAAGCCACATTTTCGGCCCCCAAAAATATGTATTCTGGATAAAGAAGTGGAGGATATAAAACAGTGTGTTATTATTAGCTTTAAACTGAATGACTTATGATTGTCTTGTCATGTGATTGATTTGTGTTGTAAAGGGACGGCAG